GCCCCCAGCCGACACCCCTGTGCCCTGCGCAAACGTGTCAAACGCGTCTAGCCGCGTTCAATGAACGCGTGTTCAACGTGTTCAAAACATGATAGCATTCGGGAGTGTGCTTCGCCACATTGCACTCCGGGTTTGGGSYACTCTCCTATTTGGAGGCCAGGACGCGCACTTCAAAAAGAGAGTGTCCAACACTGTCCAGCATGCAGCGACCAAAACTGTGAGGGAAATGCTTGTCTGCGCATTATCTGGTCGAAATACAGGCCTCTGCTAGCGGTCTCCCGAAAATGGCCGTTTACAAGTGGGAGGCTCAAGCCATTTTGGGAGTGCTCTCGGAGTCTCAGGAGCCACATTCTCACAGCTCCCGAATTCTATTTGACTGGTTGAACTCGGGAGCTGGTGTGGCGACGCTGCACTCCCGAAAATGGCCAAGTCGGGAGTAGTGTGGCGAAGCCCCTATTCTGGAGAGCGGAGAGTAGTGCGGCGACTCTGTCGAGACTCTTTGGGCCTCGCCACACTACTCCCGACTTGGAGAAAAATTTGGAGAGTACTCCGGAACGTCCGAAAATGTGATGCCACATTGCACTCCCGACTTGGGGTGCACTCTGATTTGGAGGTCGGGAGGTGCACTTCAGACAAAGACTGTCCAACACTGTCCAACATGTGGTGACGAAAATTGTGAGGAAAATGCTTATCTGCGCACGAGTTTTCTGGTTGAAATGCAAGCATGTGACAAACTATTTTCCATACCCGAACTATCTTTTGTAGTCTACCAAACTTTGTAGAAACATCCTCCCCCCCTCTCTCTTTTCTGTTTTGTTTATACGAAAGTAGTCAGCCAATCAGGCCTTCTCGAATCCACGTCGACGTTTTATCTTTTCGTTTCGGGGCGATTCCCTTCAAGAAATTCATGCACTTACTTAGGAATTACGCGCGCCTTAGAGAACATGCGAAAAATTCTTATTCAACGGTTGGGAATTCCGAGATTTACGGGCGCCTTTTTCGTTCACGTGTCATTTCGTTTATCAAGAATTCCCCGTACCCGCTCTCGAAAGATCAATGAATTTTTTGTTGGCAACTGGACAGACTTAGGATTTTTGCGTGCTCAAACGCGCATGCTGGTATACCATTTGAATTTTGTATTCTTGAAATAGTTTTTGGAAGGAACGCAACTGCTTGGAGGACCTTCTTCTCTCTCAAGCACTCGCGAAGTATCTGCAAGCTTCCCCCTGCCCCCTCCCTCGCTAAAGCCCGTGGGCCGTGACATCTTCCGTCTCCATTTCTTCGCGCCTTCTCGCCTTCGTYTGTAAYTGTTTTGATYCCCTCCCTCTCTCTCATGCTTCACCCTCACTCCTTCTCATCTGGATCTTGGACCCGCTCCATGCTACTTTTCGTGCTCTTCTTCTTCCCGCCTACATCCCGATACCGGAACTCCTTACCGATGCCGCCCAAGGTATTCGAAGCCACTGATCGACGKCGTGTAAGGAGAAAACTTCTCCCTGCACAAAGTAATCTGATTGGCTGCAYRGAGAGCCTGCRAGATCGATATGGCTTTCCGCGGGCGATCATCTYGAACTCCTTCACTCCTCGCAATCCTTACCCCATGCTTCTCCCTTTGCTGCCCCCCTGCTCGCAACTGTTAAATCCGCAAGCGCTTTCGAAAGACTCTCTCTCAACCTATCTGCCAACTTCCGGGAAATCGTGGCTAGGTGATGGGAATGCATGGTGGRTCKGAAAGTCCTAACGAGCTGACGGTGGCTCCGCAAGGTTGAGTGCMAGGTAGCCGCGATGAAYTGTGGGATCTGGGCAAGTCGGTGTAGGAGCTGAGTTGGCGGGGTGACGATCGCTGTGGTGTGGTGGTTGATATGTGGTGGCCGGGATCGCCAGTACCAGGGTATGGAAACATGCTTGTGATGGAGAGGTTGTATGGCCTGGGTTCATAGTCAGAGCGTCAGAGAGCGGAAGGATTGCCAGTTTCAGTCCGCAGATCTATTTTGTGTGCTTACTACTCTTTCTTTGTCTTTACTCTCCTTCTCATGTCAAGCTATATCTCCGGTGATATCTTCGCTCTCTCTCCCTCCCTCTCTCTTTCTCTTCCTTTTCGGTATTTCCGTCATGAATGGCTGAATGTTCGGACAAAGTTCCTACGTCCCTACGAGTTCCTGAGGTTTCGGCCTGTTCCCCTCGTTGAATTCAATAGGATCCCGCGGGGACGGGCATTGTTGAATTTGAGAGGCCAGCAACATTGAGCGATCTTGCCACACCCCTTTCTTTTCCATGCTCCCTAGCGCCTGATAATGCATGAGTAATCCTTGTTCGTATGTAATAAATTAATGCCCGCACGAATGTAAGCTGATCATTCTCTCTATTGGATTAAATTGCATGATGATTGGAAACTGATGCATGGTGTGCTGTCTGCTTATTTCCATAATTGGATAACGGACTGATTAGGTAGGCGCCATCTGATTTTTGCTCGTGCCATGTGGACCAAACRTTCCTCCGACCGGAAGACAGGACAGGGCATGAGGTTGAGCGTCACAAGCCTCCGAGGTCTCCCGAAAATTGCCTTTTACAGGCGGGAGGCTCAAGCGATATCGGGAGTGCTCTCGGGAGTCACATTCTGACAGCTCCCGAATTCAATCTGACAGGTTGAACTCGGGAGGTGGTGTGGCGACGCTGCACTCCCGAAAAATGGCCAAGTCCAGAGTAGTGTGGCGAGGCCCTTTGACTTGCTTGGCTTTGCTGACCTGAGGCGGTTTTCTCTTCCAAGGGCCTGAGATTCAGGGCAGATGCCCAGTTTTGGCAAATTTTTATTTTTTAATTTTTTTTAAAGGCTAATTCTTTAAGCCCAACCAATTCAATTACCTGTCAAATCTGGACAGGAGGCCTTTCAGGCCATTTTTATTGTCATTAAAGTATGTATTATGGGGAACCCCGTAGCAGCCACATCCGTGCTCAAGCCTCCAACGAGGGAACATGCGGGAGCTGCACCCACCAGCAGGTACGATACCTGCTACAGCAGGTGGGCGATACCGGCCAGGGGTCAGCCGGTAGCATCAGGACCGAGCTTCTTCGATGGGCCAGTCACTGTGCCTCCCCCCCCGTCCCCTCCCCCTATGAACATCAGCAGTCTCTGCTCCATGCCACTCGGGGGGACCAACAGCAGTCTCTGCTCAATGCTACTCGGGGGGACCAACGGCATATCTCTAGGTGGCGGGCGCCAAGCTTGCCCAGGAAGGTTCATGAGGCGAATGGGGATTGAACCCAAGACCTCCTGAATGCCACTTGCGTGCCTTACCAACTGAGCTAGGCCGCTGGATGTCTTGGCAAATTTCTGTTCCTACGTCTTTTTCGAACACATCTCCCTTGTTTCTGGACTAGAAAATATTATGTTTGCTTTGGAAAAGAAATATATTCCGCGAGTGCGGCATGGCATCTGGTCTCATCAGGATTCGAACACATCTCTGTATATCGAGTTCGGGTCGCCACACGACGTTTTTCGTTTGCCTGTTTTTTGTGTTTTTGTTGTTCACTTTTCTTTTGTCGCTTTCGTCACATCGGCAAGTCCCGAAAGCAGACGGAAGCTCACTGCTCACGGCGGCAAGGTCGCACTTCCGGAGATCAATGGTCAGAAATGAATCGAGGTGCAAACTGAGCGGGAGTCACGTGGAAGAAGAGCAGGTAGACCAATTTGTCTGGAGGACTGGCTTCAGAGCGCCGAAGCCATGCCCTGCTCACTCTAGTTGCAGGCATATAGGGCCTCGCTGCACTACTCTTGAAATGCACAAAAGACAAAAATCATGGCCGTGTATCTTTCCATATTCTAGCGGAAGATTCACTCTCGTTTTGCACATTTCGAGAGTAGTGCAGCGAGGCCCATAGTGTGTCGTTTATAGGACCGGCGAGGAGGGCAGGCCTGACTTCCAGGGCAATCACAGACACGCTCGTCCCTTCGGCCTGCCCTCTCCCCAGACTCTGTCTCTACTCCCCCTTCCAGTTGCTGCCCTCGGGCTCGCCTATATCCATGTGGCCGTTTCCGCTGATCCGACAAGGCGGTAGTTTGCCGCATCGTGCTCGGTAAGTCTCTGTAATACACACACCGTAGCAGAGTGTGTGTGTGTGTGTGTGTGTGTGTGTATCACAGAGAGAGAGAGAGAGAGAGAGAGAGAGAGAGAGAGAGAGAGAGAGAGAGAGAGAGAGAGAAATGGCGGGTAGTGGTCGCAGCCGAGTGTGGAGGGAGGTGGGGATGGTATGCATGATGGTGATGTTGTCAGCAATGGTTGAGAGGGTGACGGGGTTGATCGTGGCGAAGGACGGTTCGGGGGACTTCATGAAGCTTACGGAGGCGTTGAACGCTGCCAGCCCTGGGACTCGGATTATCGTCAAGCCCGGTGAATACCGGGAGAAGGTGGTGGTGACGACTCCCARCATCGTTCTGATTGGCACGCCAGGGCAGTCCGTGATCGTGCAAGGGGAGAGCTCCAATTCCGCGGGCAGCACGTTGCTATCCGCGACCTTCACGGTCAAAGCCAAGGCGACCGGATTTGTGGCCATGGGTATGGTGTTCAAGAACGATTACGGACGTAATGACGAACCAGGAGAGCAAGCCGTTGCTGCGGCCGTCATGGCAGACAGCTCCTTCTACAACTGCCAATTCATTGGCTGGCAAGATACACTCTACGCCAAGAAAGGCCGCCAATACTACAAGGACTGCTACATCGAGGGGTCGGTCGACTTCGCCTTCGGCGCGGCAACGGCGCAGTTCGTAGACTGTGTGCTGTATGCAAAGAGGAGAGGGAGCCTTACCATAGCCTCTTACACTGCGCAGCAGAGGCTGTCGAGCACCGACACCAACGGCTACGTGTTCATTGGCGGGCAACTCAAGTGCGATGCGGGAGTGAGGGCTTTGCTGGGGAGAGCGTGGGGAAAGTTCGCCCGAACGGTCTTCATCAAAGTGGCGATGGATAATTGCATCGATCCGAAGGGATGGAGCTCGGTCGGAGACTCGAACTGGGGGACCACCAGTTTTTCGGCAGAGTACCAGTGCACCGGTCCCGGGGCGGATCGGTCGGGACGCGTGTCGTGGAGCAAAGTCTTGACAGACGAGGAGGCAGCGTACTTTTCGTCACCGACCTTCCTTGGCGGGTCCAGGAGTCCCCCTGGAGGTACCACCGCCGTTTCCAGCACTCCAGCTCCAACCAAGGCGCCACTCGAAGCCAGATCGGAATCGGCTCCCAGCTCAGAATACTTTTCCATCTCTGATGAAGATCTCGGCTCAGTTGCGGGTCCCAGCTCATATGAGGATCTCGAGCCGCCCAGCTCAGAATGGATTCCCATGTCGATGGGAAGTGACGACGATCAACTGTAATAATTGTCCTTCCCGCTCATCACGCAATCAGCTAATCAGCTAATCAAGCAATCAAGCAATCAAGTAGCGATGTCTGTCTTAGTTGGATCCTTGACTGATCAATCGACGACGAGATCGCATCGATCAAGCAATCGAAGTCCTCTGTCGAGAGATCGTCGGCCATCCACTCTGCAGATGGGCAGTGCGGGTACCCGCGGCACAGCGAATCAATCAATCAAGCCATCACGTAGTGATGGCTGTACCAGCGCCACAGCTAATCAAGCACTCAAGCCATCAAATAGTGATGGCTGTCTTAGTTGGATCTGTGACTGATCAATCGACGAGGTCGCATCGGTYGCATCGATCAAGCGATCGACGTCCTCTGTCGAGAGATCGTCGGCCATCCACTCTGGAGATGGGCAGTGCGGGTACCAGCGGCACAGCTAATCAAGCAATCANGATGGCTGTCTTAGTTGGATCCTTGACTGATCAATCGACGAGATTGCATCTATCAAGCGATCGACGTCCTCTGTCGAGAGATCGTCGGCCATTCATTCTGGCGCTGTGCAGTGCGGCTACTAGCGGCACAGCCGTAAGAACAGGACACGGAGTTCGGAGAACTCGTAGTTTCGGTTCCGTGGGAGGAGGTACTAGGTCGTAATAGCCGCCTCTAGAATACAGATGATCCCGGGGCAATGTCCCACTTGCGGAAATTAGGAGATTTCGGCCGTTGATCTTTGCTATTTACGGTCAGTATCTCTTAATTCGTGCAAGTGGGACCTAGCCCCCGGCTGCGATCGTTTTCTTTGCCGAAGTGATATCACGCACAGACAGACGCAACTTCAGGAGAGACAGTTAAGACTGTTCCGTACATCCATTTCAGCCTTGCGCCCGTGGGCGGCGAGTGATTTCGATTATTTTCGCTGCGAATTTTGGAGTATAGGCAGTGATAACTTAATAACGTAATAATAACGTGATTGGTTATGAATCATGCCGCAGAAAGTGCTAATGGTTAATTAGCGGACGATACAGCATTCGCTCGCAGGTTGTTAGTAGTCGTGTCGAGCAGCGAGGGAGGGGGTTGTGAATTCCCCAAATCCCCCAATGGGTATGTGGGAGGAACGCCGGGAAGCAGGAATTGGACGGATGGAAGAAGGGTGGGGGGCGAGTGCGCGCTTCTCATTCTTAGGGTGAGAGCGAGCCTTTTGCTATTTCAAACTTCGAGTTAAAAAAAAAAAAAAAAAAAAAAAAAAAAATCAGACATGTGAGGTCGTAATCACGGAACTTATTATTAATAATTCTTTCGGGGGCCATTACCCCTTGTTATTCCTGAAGTTTTCTTTTTTTGAATCTTGCAGCCTCTGAATGCCGTTTCGTGTTTTAAATTTGGCCTACACGATCTTTCTGTGATTCTTGGCGCCATTCTGGAGTGCTGGTAGTCGACGCACCTTTTATTATTATTATTATTTAGTCAATGCTTTCCATCCATGGTTTGACGAGTTTTTTCCCTCTTTTTCTTTTAAAGGGCAACGGCCTTGAGGTATCATCATTGAACTGACAGGCCGCAGGTAATTCAAAATGCTTTTATTTCGTTCATCTGACAGTATCTGTCAGATATCGGGATTCGAACTTGGGTCTGTATTTCAACAGTTCACGGGTCTGCCGACTCATCTACCTTCTTCCCCCGAATACAACGCCGGTCATTATAACTGTATTTAGACTGAAAACCCCAAATACAGCTATAATTATCGTGCGTTGTATTCGGGGTTGACGGTAGGCCCGTCGGTGATGACTTTTTTTTGTCGGGTATATGCCTGCGAGAACGGCTTTCCGTAATTCGGCACTAATATAATATGCGGAGGAAACATTGCGGGCAGCGGCCATCTTGTTGGACTTCATGGACGCTTAGGAACGCCGCTGTGTGGGGGAAGTTTCTTACAGCTCCCATGAGTAGAGCCGAGGTTAATTTTCCTATAGGAAAGCAGGCGGGAGTCGCACAAAGAATTTAAAAATAGACTTCGGGAAATTTGGGCAAAAAAGAGTTTCAAATTGCACTTTATTCGAAGTATGCAAGCTAGCTTTCAGGTCAGGTAGGGTTGGGTGGGGATGTGTTATGTTCGGGGGAATGGCCTGAAGTGTTTTTTTTTTTTTTTTTTTTTTTTTTTAATTTTAAACGCCAGGTTGTTGTAGAGGCAGGGTATGAGGCGCAGGACAACTCTCCGGAGTCCAGCTACTCAGCTACTCGAAGCTCAGCCCTAAGTCCTATCCCAAGTCGTAACCCTTCCACACCTACCAGTTTGCCACTACGAGATCGGATTCTACCCCTGTAGCTCCGGTCTCAACTGGGTATATTGCGGGCCTACTCTATGAAGCTTCGTCCCTCCCCCATTGACCAGCAGATCCCGAGGAACCAAGGGCCCATCTCCCTCTTTTTTTTTTTTTTTTTTTTTTTGTTTTGCAAGGATAGCCCTTGTGTAAGCCCTCTATCCGGGCGGTGGTAAGAGAACCGTCGGGATTGAGGGTTTCTCTGTTGGGCTGCTCCCGGGATCGAGGGTTTCTCTGTCGGGCTGCTCCATCTATTGGTGGGGAGCGGCACCTGCTGGAAACCGGGTCCAGAGTCCCATTGGTACATCTTGTAACACAGAGATTGCTGTTTGTTGTTTTCCTGGGGCTGTAGGCTTTTCTCTTCTCAGATCTGGGCCTTCGTTGTCCCTTGGAGCTGCTAGTGACACCCATCCCCTCTTAGAGCACCCCATTATCTATTAGCCCAGCCCTGTTCAGCAGCCCCCCTGTAGTATGTTTGTCCCATTTGAACCCCTTAAAACCCTATACCCTCTCCAACCTCATGCACATGACCTTTGCCATCCTTGAAGCCTGAAATGCAATCTGCAGGGCTCACCTTCCAGGAACGAGATTTGGAAGCTAGATCTGCTGTTGTGGCCTAAGTTACTTGCCTGCTGGCCATCGTCAGGTGAGAGCCGAGATGTAGACTGTTTCTGTTGCAAGTTAAGAGGCTTTATGTTGTTCTCTGTGTTGATCTATTGTCCATGTTTGTCCATGTCTGGTCCTTTGATTCATGGTGTAGAGATCGACCCCAGCAGGCCGTTGGGAGCTGTTGGTTGTCCTGTAGCTGTGTATCTTCCCTCCCATTATTAATATACAGTATGTTAATCCCTTTTCTATCCTACCCACTAGTCGATAGACAGGCTCAGTACAGACCTCTATGTAACCGCTCGTTCAATGAACGCGGGTTCCGCGTTTAGTTTTTGAACGCGTTGAACGTGCGTTCACTGAACGCGTGTGAACGCTTTTGACACGTTTGCGGCTGGGGTGAAACACGTCGGGTGCGGGGTGTTTCGGCAAGGGGTTGTTGTGGGAGGTGTGGGAGGTGTGGAAGGGGTGCTGTGGGAGGTGTGGGAGGTGTGGGAGGTGTGGGAGGTGTGGGAGGTGTGGAAGGGGTGCGGGCACCCCCTGATCACTCAATACGAACT